CACTTGCTAGGTGTCAAGCATGTGCCGTGTGCTTTGTGTCATCATTTATTTCATCCTCATAACAACCCCATGGCTTAGATTCTATTATTATCTCCATTTCTCAAAGGAGGAAACTGAGGCAGCAGGGATGAGGTATCTTGCCACCAGGCTCAGAAAAAACAAGATTTCTTTTTATTTTTCTTATTATTCATTTATTTATTTTGAGACAGAGACTCAAGCTGTCGCCCTGGGTAGAGTGTGGTGGCATCACAGCTCACAGCAACCTCAAGCTCTTGGGCTCAAGCGATTCTCTTGCCTCTGCATCCAAGTAGCTGGGATTATAGGTGCCCGCCACAACACCCGGCCATTTTTATTTATTTATGATTATTATTTTTGTTGTTGTTGAGGTAGTCATTGTTGTTTAGCAGGCTTGGGCTGGGTTTGAACCACCAGCCTTGGTGTACGTGGTTGGCGCCTATCCACTGAGCTACGGGTGCCACCCAGAAACAAGACTTTTATCCCAGGAGAAGCACTCAAAGAGGAGGAACTCCCCAGTCGATTGAATGGAATCCTGAGAATTAGTGATGGGCTGTGCTGCGTGACCTCTGGCAAGTCACTGCACCTCTCTGAACCTCAGTTTTCTCCTAAGCAAAGTGCCCTGACAGACACACTTCTCATTGCTATGATGCTAAATCCCAGAGAAAGCAGAATTGAGGGAGCAGCAGGGTGTGTGGGGGGCACAAGAAATGAGGGGAAACTGACCCAACAGAAGCCATACCCTCTGTGACGACCCAGCTACGAGGTCAGAATGGAAAGTGGCCAGGGATAGGCTTACCTCGGAGGTTTCTTGAGAAATTAAAGGTCTGGAAGGTGATCAATATGTCCGCCATCAATTCTTGGAAGCCATGGCGTTTGGCTAGTGCATCTGAGTCTCTGTCTATGTATTCATCTATGATGGTGGCTGTCATTTCAAGGGGTATATCCTGGGGCAGGGGGACAGGCACAGGCCTACTCAGTTCCTACAGCTGTGGCTGATCCTCCCAAGAAGCCCCACCCCCTCCAGCATGGCTTCCCTCATGTTTAAGGCTCATGTTCCAGGCGGCCAACTGCCGCTCTGCCTCCCTGGGAGTCGTAGGTGGTGCTGAGCAGGATAAGCTCAAGTTTGGAGTCAGATCTCAGCTCTGGGACCACTGCCTGGCTATGTGAGCTCTGACAGTTTGGCTGAGTCTGTCTGAAAGTCAGTCCTTGACTAGCAGGGTTGTTTGGCTTCCTGAGTGAGGTGTCAGCAGGGAGTGTGGCCTGGAAGCAGGTGCTCCATGTTCAGTGGACATTAATGGGGACATAAGTGACAGAGCAAATGATGGGGACACCCCACAGCTCCAGAAAGTAGCGATGAAGTTACGTGAATGTGGAGGCCTCTGGGGCTTCCAAAGAAGGGAAGAGCACAAACATTGAGTTCCTCCTGGGTACCAGCTTCCAGGTAGACTCTTCAAATGCAATGTTCAGTCTCGTTCTCACAACAACTGAGGTGAGTGGAAAGTATCACATCCATTTCTTTTTTTTTTTTTTTTGAGACAGAGCCTCAAGCTGTCCCCCTGGGTAGAGTGCCTTGGCGTTACAGCTCACAGCAACCTCCAACTCCTGGGCTCAAGCGAGTCTCCTGCCTCCGCCTCCCAAGTAGCTGGGACCACAGGTGCCCGCCACAACGCCC